AAACATCGATGTGATACATGGGTATCTGGGTGCGCAAAATAGATCAAAAAATACAACGGGAATATTAACAAAATAAAAAATACTATTGAAACACTAAACAATAGAATACAAAAAAATGACAAATCGCAAATATCCAAATGGATAGCTGCCACTGAGGCAGATACTAGTTGTAACTGGATGGATTTGGAGCTAGTATACCCTGAGTTAAAAACACATATAAATTGTGTTTAAAATACTAAATGCAACATACTGGACATGTCCGGCGCTATGCAAAGTCTGGATTTAACAAAAAAATTTTATTGAAAAATACCCATTCTGCAGAAACATTGCTTCTGAAATAATCGAGCATATGCTACTTGAATGTAGTCAGTAGCAAGCGCTACGAGTTGACATACTAGCTCAATACATTAACATATATAGTGCACAAGTAGCAAAAAAACCACCATTATTGCCTGCTTCAATCTCGATGAGGTTAGTTGGCAATCTCCTAGGGGAGGAGTTAAAACTTTCAAGTACAAGGATTTTCAAGAATCCATCTGTACTCTGCGTTAAAACTACGCTGGCAACAGCAAAGTTTCTAAAATGATTGCACTTTTACGCTATCTAATGCTTAACAATATTAGGTTAGTACCAATCCCCCCAAACCAATGCCCACCGGGTACGGAGACTCTAGCGAGTCAGAGGAGAGTTAATAGATAGTGTATTTTTAGTATAATTTTTAGAAATTTTTGGTTTAATAATTAAAAAATTTATTATTTATAAAAGTAATATTTATTAATAAAAATTTTGCATTCATTTTGCGGCATTTATAGCCAAAAAAATACTGTTAAAGTCAAAATAACAATATACCCCGATTAAAAGCCCCAATTGACCATTTTATATTTTTAATCATACATTTTATAAACTATTTACAAAACAGAGCATTTGTTTTATTAGATATTTTTTTATAAGTGTAGTTTTAAATGACAATCTATAATATCCAATTGTAATAAAAAGTTTATTTTTGAGAAATAACTACTTTATAATTTTATAATAGTTTGATTTGTTATTTTATTATAATGTCATATAAATTCCAGCTAGTAATTATTTTTAGTTAAATGTAGTGCGCTAAAAAACATAACATTATGTAAATTTATTGACCAAGTTGTATAAATGTTAATAGTTATTTTCACCAAATAGTACACTGGCGGTACCATTCAAAAATAAAAACATTTCAATTGAAACAAAACAAAATAGAAACCAAAAATCTTAGCTATTTCTCAATACAATACTGCAATTTTTTATTAGTCATAATACCAATTTAACAGTGAATGCAAAAGTTTCCGGCTTTAACAAAAAAGAAATTTCTTTTACAAAATTTTTACTATTGGCTGTTTAATATTGTATTTTTTACCTACGATTGAATAAAAGACTTTTTAAAGAAAAAATCAAACTTAATATTTGTTATATTTTGTTAATTTATGTATAATTGGCTTTATTTTAATAAAATGTAAAAAATCGGACTGAATTAAATGTCAATGGTTTGCTTTCGAGTCATAAAAAATTTTTTAAGATAAAATCTTGTTTTTAAAGCTTACCACTAAATAAAACCGAATATTGTATAATAAATTAAATTATTTTATAATAGTAGCAATCATAGCTTTTTACAGTATTAGTGTTAATATATCCAATTTTAATAAAGCAAACCAAAATCTATTGAATTTCACATTGCCCTAGTTAGACCTTAATACCGTTTTCCGATTTAAATATTATGCCACAAAAAGCGGTATGTTGATTGGTTATGGCAGATGTAGTGCAACAATTAGAGCTGTTTATAGTGAATAAGCATTTAAAGAAAATCTTTTAGTTTTCTGAAATGCCTCTTTATCAAATAAAACTTATTATTACATTGTTTTAATATGCAAAGCGGCAACGAAAATACACCCGAGAAGTCGAGGTAATTCCTTTTTACTATAATTAATCAAGTTTCAATCGATACAAGATGCCCTTTTTTTAAAAAAATATAGAACTCAAGAACTAATATTAAAGCTCAAAGGTACCATTTATTAGTTGTAACATCCTCATTTCATTAACCTCATTTTTAATACCTTAGATTCTTTAGAAGCATTTAAAGAAATTGAAGCAAAAAACATAAGCTTAGAACAAGAACATGAAACACTCAAAAGTTATATTGAAAATTTAATGTCCTCAGATGTATTCAAATAACAAACAAGACTCATCCACTGGGAGTTTAATAGAGCGGTATAATATATGTTCTTTATTTTAATTATTAAGCTTTTTGGTATGCTGCAACCTAAATCTTTAAAATACCCACATAGGTTAATATGTGGGCTATATAAATTTAGAATATAATAATATGAAAATATTGGTTGACTTTATTAAATAATGGTATAGAACAGAAAGATTTAATTTGCCAACTTCTATTGGATTTATCAAAGCGCTAGTGTATTTATTTTTTGGTTTTCCAAATAAAACTTGAATTTACCCTTCTAATTAAAATCGATTTTTGATGCATTGTCGCCTTATATTATTCTTGTACGGTTGCAATACTCTGAATGTATAAAATATTATTAAACTCTGGTGTTTTTAGTTTTAACAATTACTAAATATATTGCTTTAGGAATTTTATATACACACTATTATTGT